CAACAGGTTCCACAGGTCCACGAAGGGGCTTAGAGGAACAGGCTGATGACGAAACCATTTTCCCAGGAATGTGGGTCTCTATGGGAGGGAGGGGGGCACAGTCACCTGCCCCTGCATGTTACAGCCGCGCCCCCCACCCCCATGATGCCCCAGGGACCAGACATCACAACCAGACAGGAAGGAGGTTCTGGACCAGCCAGATTCCTGCCAAGGGGTCTCAGCAAAGCATAGGGGAAGGGGATAGCGCTACCTCATGTTGGGAGGACCCACTGCAGTTGGGTGGGGACTGAGCCCAGACTCCTAGGTCCCCTGCCGCCAACTTCCCATCCCTATGACTGGAGCCACTCCTCACCCAAGGAAAGGACTCGGCCCACACCTTAAACCAAGGGGCTATTTGGAGACCACCCTGCAACCCATCATCGCATAAGCCCAGGGTGGAAAGGGTCACCCATAACCTAGACTAAAGGCTCTTACCAGAGTCAAGGTTTGGGACTTGGGTCTCCTACCCCAACTCAGGGCTCTGCCCACAAAATACTCTGCCTTCTAGAGGGCAGGGAGGACAACCCAAGAAGAACTTGTCCCCCAGGACCTTGGGCAGGGTGAGCCATCTTAGTCAGATGAGGGGGAGAAAAAGTGTAAGTGGGGTAACTACCCTAGTGGGACCTGAGCCCTTTGCCGAGCTGGGCTGGAGGGAGCATTTACCTAGTCTCCAAGCCCACCCACGGAAGTTCTCCCAATGGACTTCCTTTGGTGGGGGGGCAGCCTGACTCGGCCACAGGGAAGGGAACCAGGGAGGGACCTCTGTGTGCTGGTTAGAAACCACTAGAGAGCCCTGAGGACAGGAACTGGTCCTGCTGCCCTGGCCCTAGAACCTCCAAGCTCCCCACCTGGGCTTTCATTTAAGAAGGAGAGAGAGCCCGGGGAACGTTAGAGAGAGTGGGGGGGATGTGATAAGTCTGACTTCAGAGACCCTCCCACGGGGAAAGTTTTTAAACACTTTTATGAGAGCAGGAATAGTATTTCAGGCACTCCTGGTGCTGTGTGATCCCACGGAGGTTCATGTGTAGACATGGGAGCCCATGCGGGAGTCCATGCAGATGCCCAGCACAGACAACATACACCCCAAACCCCCCTCCTATGCCAGTTAACCCGGCTGCCCGCTCTCCTCCTCGTTCACACCACAGTTTTAAAAACCCAATTCAAACTTCTCCCCAAAGTGTTTAACTCCCTTATCACACAGTGTGTCTGGGAAAGGAAGGCAGATAAGGCGAGTCTGGTTTCTCTCATGGTCAGGCCTGACACCTCACTCCTGGCAGTAGTTCCTAAGGGACTCCACTACCTTGGCCATGGAGACCCAGTGGCTACAACTCAGCTGAGAGGACATTTCCAGGGAACAACTGTGGCCCAGCCTCCAGGGCCTGGCCTGGCCTGGCCTCAGGCTGCTCCCTCCACCCACCAGACCACAGCTGTGGCTCCATGGACACTTCTGTGAACAGTTTGGGTTGAAGTCACTGTTACATCCAGCCACCCTGCTCAGTACGAGAGGCTCAACTGGGCTTGGGAGAGGCCAATCCCCCTTGGTTTAGATACAAGGAAACAGGTCTAGATGGAAGGAGGTGCCCCAAGGCCTCACAGCTAATGCCCCCAAACCAACTGTCTGCTCCAAGGACTCAGGCTTCCTACAGGGAGTCCTCCCTGGTTACTCCCACCCCACTACCCTGCCCTCTTCCTCCTCCTGGAGCCTCCCTGGCTGTTCTTCTATCTCCTTCCTACCTGGCTATTGTCAGACCTGGGTAAGCCAGATGAGGAAGGTCCTTAGCAAGGTCAGGGTTTGTATACTCAGAATTCAGGGCACATTTACATGCTGAGTGCCACCCACCTCCAACCCCTACAGAACACTGGTACACCCAGGAGCTTTGCCACCAGCACATTTAAGCACCTCTCATGCCCCAGGGAGCAGGAGGCAAAAAGGACTCCCATTCTCATTGCTTGATACAGAGGGACAGCCTAACACCAGCTTCCACGATGCCTGACCACTGAGATGGGGGGCAGAGTGAAAGGCCAGAAAAGCAGCAGTCCTTGCACCCAGCCATGACCCTGTCCAGTCTTGCCCTGGTTGATGACCAAGTGCCCAACAACACACTGTTGGTCACAGCACATAAGTGGGAACATGTGGGTGGCTCCACACAGTCCCCCTCACCGCCAGAAACTGGTTGGGAGCCTGTGTTGGGGCTTCTGAGAGGTGGGCTGCAAGAGAAGTGGGGACCAGTGCTTCTAGTCAGGTGGGAGAACTGCCTCAGGCCCAGGGAGCCATGCTCAAGGAGCTGCTGAGCCTCGGAGCCACTGGAGACCCTGACTACCCTCTGCCCACAGTACTTAGCCATGCTTACTGTTCCACCTCATCCCAGGCCTTTCTGAATTCCGCAACCTACTCCCAATCGTGTCTCCATCCTCCCCCCAGCCGCTGCAGCATCCCTGCTGAGCCCAAACCATGGAGAAGGCTCCCCTCTCTCCATTTCTAAGGGTGGGCTCTACAGGGCCTCCTAGCTCCCTGGCAGCTCCATGCACCAGGACATGCAGGGGCTGCAGCGCACAGCGTGGAGTGGTGCGTGGCCAAGGCGCTGTGCCTGGCCTGCCCGCTGGGGCGCACCATGGCCAAGCTGCAACAGGACAAACAGTGGATGCCCTGTGCCCAGGGCTCCTGCCTACCCTCTCCTTCTGCACAACTAAAGATCTCACCCGCCCTAAGGCTTCAACTACCAGCTCTGCCCTGGTATCTCCCTAACTTGTGGCCTTGACCACTCTCAGTGCAACAGATCTGTGACTCTTAATTGCTCTGGGACAGCTTCACCCTGGATATCTCACAGCCCCTCACATTCAGCACCACCCAAACGGAACCCAGCATCTCTACCAGATCTGTGACCCATTAGTCCCCCAGGCAGAGCTCCTCCCTCTGCCCCCCTACTAATATCCAAAGACTAGCTCACCCTGCTGATTCTCCCTCTGAGGTCTCTCTCCAAGGCAACCCCAGCTCCCCATCCACCCACCACTGCCCCAGCTATGACTGTCCTCTCTCCTTGGACCATCATAATCAAGTTAGTCTGTCTCCAGCCACCTTCAAACCCACCATCAATCCTTGAGGGAGCTTACCAGATACAAGGGGGACCCTGTCCCTCCCCTGCCCAAGGCCCCTCATCCACCACCCCATATCCGAGAAGACTAGTTCACCTCAGGTGATCATGGCCAACTCCCACTGAAAAAGCTGGATGTCTGGAGACAATCCTCTCACATACGTATGTGTATGCAAGTACGTATACATATTCATACATATATAACTCTGGGAGTATTTTTGTTTAAACTTGGACAGCTGCTTCCACAAGCAGACAAGTAGCATATGCACGTTAAAATAAAATCTCAGAAACAGCCGATGACACAGTTTACTAGGCACATGAGCCCACAGTGCTGACTTTATACCATGGACATGCAGTGTGTCATGCTCATAGGACAGAATTAAATGTACCCCTATTTTCAGACACTTCATATAGAACACTGGTACACCCAGGAGCTTTGCCACCAGCACATTTAAGCACCTCTCATGCCCCAGGGACAAAGCCCAGCTCCCTTACCCAGCATCCAGAGGGCCTTCACAACTTGCCCCTCCACTCATACCCACCAGGCTCCCCTCTGGCCAGATTGTCCTTTCAGCGTTTTGCAGGGTGCATGCACAGCCCCCCACACAGCACCCCCATCTACATCAGCAGCAGCAAGCCCTGGGCCTTCAGCACAAAGCCTTCCTGCCTGCGACACCCACTGGGAAGGGATGATTGTGTTTGGAGCAGAACATCTGTTCTGGCTGCCTGCACTGTTGGTACTGCTCTGTCTGGGGCCATCTCCCACCCAGGCTGGGACCTCCAGGGGCAAGAGCTAATCTGATCCCCCTCCCACTGGCCCCCTGAGGTGCAACCCCGCCCACACAGGAGACCTGAGTACCAAGCGGGGGCAGCAGGTGCAGACTACTCACAGTCAGACCCTGGAAACCCAACCCAAACGCACACGTCTGAGCAGCGTGGAAAATCCCACCTAAGGGCCACTGCACACACCATGGAAACAGTCTAACCGGCCACTCCAAGAGGCCCCATGCTCAGGGTAGTGACTGGTCCACACCGGCCGCCACCCCAC